ATGGTCACTACAGCTAAGACTGTCCCCCACCCTTAACTTCCACAACCAAGCTGCCTTTGTTGGTTAATACAAAGTCCAGCATCACAGGAGCTGGGTATTCTTGTCATCCTTCCTGGGAAATAATCATACAGAGTACATATAGAGACAGAGCTGCTCCCTCTTAGCTACCACTGTCTTGCCACACATTAGCCCTTCCTGTACCATTGTCACCACTGCCCACTCCACCTTCACCCCACTCTATGGTCCACCCAGGGCCCTTTTAGTCCCTTGCACTGATCTGGTCTCTGCCAATCCTGAACCTAAAAGGTGGTAAAGAGCAGGTAGCTGGAATTTCCAGGGCACCCTTAGGTATCTTTTCCTGTCATTGCTGCCAGCACACAAGCAACTGTCCTTCAGATCCAGTGTGGTGATGCCTGGTGTACTGCAGTTATGGCTGTCTTGGTGAGCTCCTGTGGGAGACAGGAGCTTTGTGGATGCAGGAGGCCCCTTGGCCTGTTCTGTGTGGAGAACAGGCCAAGCTGAATCCTGCCTGGAATCTGCTCTGCCTAAACTGAATTGTCTTTGGGTACCGAGTGGTACCAAAGAGCAAGCACAACCCTGGGGAAACCCCATCATCAACATCACCTTCATCTTCATCTTCATCTTCATCTTCATCTTCATCTTCATCATCTTCATCATCTTCATCTTCATCTTCTCAATCATGATTATTTGATCATCTCAGGGCACTATTAGGGGGTACCTTTTATTAATATCTAGAGCTTCTGTCCTCATGGTCTTCAATGTTATTGGTCACTAAGGTATTCCTTAGTTTTACTACGCTTTCTTTCGCTTTATTTACTGGTATTTTCCAAAGAAGATGCCTTTATGCAGACTGGGGTGTGGAAAGATCTCATCATTTAACAATACACAGCACAGAGAATGACACCCTGCCCAGTGCTGAGGCATTAAGGTGAAAATGCCTGCTCCTTGGCTGCTCTGCAAAGAGGAGCAAGATCAGGATCTTTGGTCCATTGGGTGGGTGGCTGTGTCAGGGACTAGAGCTGGCCAGGAGCAAAACAGAGACATGGATCCCCCAGCTCTGTCCACAGCTGGGTCAAGACCTTGGCCAGCACGTTGTCACCCCAGCAGCACTGGGTTCTGCAGTGTCAGTGCCCAGAGGAACCAAGAGTGGGTAAGGACATTATGTCAAGTGGCATGGATTGTTTCCTTGAGGGCTGTTGGTTTCTGGGTGAGAAAGTGAGGAAAGCTGAGTGTCTCAGCTCGTCTGCAAACACTCCCATAGTCCTACATTTCCACGTCCCTACTCTGAATACCTCTGCATTGACAGGGTCTTTTGGAAAAGTAGGGATGGAAGATGTTGGAAGGGGGACTAGAGCTGGCCAGGAGCAAAACAGAGACATGGATCCCCCAGCTCTGTCCACAGCTGGGTCAAGACCTTGGCCAGCACGTTGTCACCCCAGCAGCACTGGGTTCTGCAGTGTCAGTGCCCAGAGGAACCAAGAGTGGGTAAGGACATTATGTCAAATGGCATGGATTGTTTCCTTGAGGGCTGTTGGTTTCTGGGTGAGAAAGTGAGGAAAGCTGAGTGTCTCAGCTCGTCTGCAAACACTCCCATAGTCCTACATTTCCACGTCCCTACTCTGAATACCTCTGCATTGACAGGGTCTTTTGGAAAAGTAGGGATGGAAGATATTGGAAGGGCTGATATAAGGAGAGGCTCATTTCAGGGGTGAAAGCTCTGCCAAGGTTGGAAGATTGTGGTGGTTTAGTGCCAGGCGGGAGCAGCTAACCCCCCACCTCCCAAACGGGAGGAAGAGAAGGGACAAAAATACAAAACCCCATGGGCTGAGATAAGGAGAATTTAATACAACAACACGGAAGGAATGGTCAACAACAGCAGTAATGATAGATATAACAATATATTATAAAGGGTACAAAAGAAAGTGATCACCCCATGGGCTCTGGATGGCAACCGTGGCTCGCACCCCCTGGACCCAGAAACAGCTCCTGCCCCCCAGGCCACCCGGCCCCACTCAGCCCTGCTGCCACGGGCATGATGGCAGCATGGCAGCAAACAACCCACTGGCTGGTCCAGCTTTCTGCCCTGGCTAGAGCTCCCTCCAGACTTCAGGTGAAAATGAACCCTGCCCTAGCCAAAGGAGGCCACAGATGCAGAGCCTCACCCCTGCTGTGCTGTTTGTTTCTTAGTGACAGAGACTTTGTACTAGCGGATATGGGGCTCAGACTAACGTGGTACTTTACACCACAGTAATAAGTTGCAGTGTCCTGGAGAGAGACAGTTGCAATTTCTAAGGGGGCTGTTTTATTTCCATAGACCACCACAGAGAATTGGTCTTCGCGGAACTTGTCATTCTCTGAAATTTTAAATGCCTGCAGGATGAATTTGGGTGTTTGCCCCCTGGGCTGACGGTACCAGGAGAAAGTCAAAGTGTTGACACTGTCCTTGGTGGTGGCCTGGCAGGGCAGAACCACTCGCTGCCCAACTGTAGCTGACACTTGGGAGAAGAGTTGCTTCAAGGAATCACCTCCAACAAGACCTGCAACAGGCAGAAATGTGTCTGTAGAACAGTTTGCTTCCTTCTCTTGCGTGCTCTGTGTTTAAGGCTGTTTGGCCCAAACCTTTCTGTATTTCCAGAGAAATGGAAAGTTCAGGTGTCTGCCTCCACCACCCCTCTGCATTCCTCTCTGACCTCATCATCTTGTCAGTACAGACCTCTCTGTAGCCTACGAAAATTGTGGGAGACAATAAGAAGTGCACCCACCTGTCTGGATTAGCAAGACACATGTTGGCACAGCCGTGGTGAAGATCATTTTTCCCAGATGCAGAATCCCTGTCCCTCGGGAGACTCTTGGCACTCCACAGAACAAGGCACTCCTGGCAGCGCTATAGAACGGATGCATCCTGCAGGCTGTGCCAGAGCGTGTGACACAGTCACACCTCTGGGCTGAGAAGTGCAAGAATGAGGCTCATTCACCCTTTGCCTTTGCCTGTCTTCACAGCAGAGGGTGGATGCTCTCAGTGGCTTCCTGTACTTTTCCCTGGGTTTTGGTCTCCCTTACTGTGCGAGGGAACATCTCTCCCTTGCCGCAGAGTGTATCTGCTCTTGTGTGCTCTTGTTAGTGGGAGGGGTTTTGAAAGCCCTTTATAACGTTCAGGGCTCTGGGAAATGCAGCTGTAATGTTCTTTTCAAAAGGTTTTGGGTTTCTCTTAGTTTAGCCTCTGTTGTTTTGAAAGCAGCTGTTCAGTATTTCTCCACACGTGAGATGGAGAGGAAGCTGCTAGGGGGAAAGAAAGGTGTTCTAATGGATGAACATATAAATTCCTTGGACAGGGGGATTGAGTCCTGATTCTGATGGGTTGGGTCAGTGCTGGCTGGGGCGGGGCAGGGCAGGCTGGTTGGGGGGTAGAATAGGGGGATCTGCTGCTGCCCCATCCCAGAGCAGCTCTACACCTATGCAAGGCATAAGGGCAGGGCCTGGGGCTCCCCAGATGATGCTGGCACAGTGAAAATGAAAGGGACTGAGACTGGGACAGGAATGGGAGGCAGAATCCCAGTCTTTGGAGCCAGTGAGTGGAGAAGTGCCAAGGTGGAGCCCTGGCACTGGGAACAACTGCTCCTGGGCAGGACCTTTCTCTCCAGCATCCTGGCAAGTCTGCAGCCTTTGCTGTGTTTCTCATTTTGGTGAGTCCTTTGCATACAGTTCTGCAGTAAGGTGCTGCTCTGTCAGTCCAGCCTGCAAGGTGAGGTTGGTTCTGTAAATCACAGCCCCTCAACTGAAATCTGAAATGAGCATCCCATGGACAAAGCAGCCACTGTTCTTGGAGGGCTCAGCAGTGCCCAGGAGGTACTTGGGCTCACTATTGCCAGGTGATCAGTACCAGCAGAAGGAGGGATATCAGTGCGAGGAGGTGATGGTGCAGGTGACTGTGACAGACTACCCAAATGATGTGAGCACCTTCAGAGCCACAATGGAAGGGAGCTGGTTTGGTGCAGTGCCTCTGGGAGAGCAACAAGGTACCTTCACTTTCCCTTTTGGACACAAGGACAAAGTTGTGCACCTGGGGATGAACAACCCCATGCACCAGCATGTGCTGGACCACGCAGGAGTAAAACAGCTTTGAAGAAAATTACCTGTGTGCTCCTGCTGGACACCAAGATGACAATGAGCCAGTAATGTGTCCTTGCCTCAAAAAGCAAACTGCATTCTTTTGCACTCTCTTGGGACACAGCTGTGCTCTGGGCTGCTGAGGAGCAGAGCGATGGCTTCCAGCTCTGCTGTCATATTGAATTAAACTAAGAATCTAAACTGGTGTCACACCATCCTTGTTGGGACCTGAAATAGCAGAGTGTGAGCTTTGCAGGGGCAGGAAAAGGAGGCCTGAAGATACAGAAGTCTGCATTTCAGTGCCTGTGCTGTGAGCAGTTCTCTGACAGATTTGCTCTGTTGCTAGCTGCACTCAGGCTCCTGGCTCTGGCTGTTCTGTGCAGCTCATAGACAGAGTGGTGCAGAGTGCTCCTGCTGGGACCAGCAAATTCCCTCATGATGAGTGACATGCAAGCACACACAAACACACACATGCTCATGCACACCAATGTAGAATCATGCAAGAATCTGCACTGACAAACACTTGCACAATTCCAGCATGCAGACAAGCTCAGGCAAGAGAACCACACATGAACATGACCAACTGTGCACTCAGCTGGGGAAATCCTGGTGACAGCCTTAGCAGGGATTCTGGGGAGCATTCTGCAGAAGGACAAGGACCTAAACATGCTAATGGTGTTGCCTGGGTAGCCAGGGAGACTGCAGAGAGAGGCAAGCTATGTGGGCAGCCTTGTGAAAGAAATTGTATTCCAGGACTTAGTGACTTGGACAAGACATATCTGCTCCATTAAGCCTTGCACTAAAGGCCTGAGAGGCCTGCATGTCAGCATGAGTAGCTGCTGCAAGAGAACCTTCTAAAGGGCCCTGTGCCAGGCTGTGCTGCATGCTGGCAGGTGTTGATACTGCTAGTGGAAACATGGACAGCATCACAAGTGATCACAGAGCTCTGCAGGAAGGCAGTCAAGGGCACGGTGGCCCAGGTGGTGCTGTCCTCAGGCCTGCTGGTGAGAGGAAGGGTGGAAGAAGAGGGCACTGGAAAATCCAGGTCATTATTTGGCCGTGTAACTGGAGCTGGTGACAGGGTTTTGGATCCTACAAACATGGGACCCAGTTTGCAAAGCAGCATCTGTTCAGGAGAGTTGTTACCTTTGCCAGCAGGATGGCTGTCCTGGTAAAAAGGGCTTTAAACTAGGAATGATGGAGGGAGGGAGAGAGTAACCAGTCTGTGAAGACTGATTGACAAAGTCAGCAAGCAAAAGGCCTGGGGTGATGTGACAGCAAGATCAAGAAAACAGCTGAAGCAGGGTCACCAGTTGCATGTAAGCAAGGAAGTGCCTACAAGGCATCCCTGTGGAGAAGTCCCCAAAACCCTTTCTAGGAAGTCAGTGTGCTGGGCTGCCTGTGCTTAAGTGCCTGTGCACTGATACACACAGCATGGGCAATAAACCCAAGGAGTGAGAGATGTGTGTGCAGCTGCAGGGCTACAGTCATGCAGGAATCATGGAGATGGGCTGGGATGGATCCCATGTCTGGAGTGTCACAGTGGAGGATTGCAGGCCCCTTTGGAGGGGCAGGCTGGAAAGACAAGGAGGGGACCTTGCTCTCTCTGTGAGAGAGAGGTTGGAGTGCGTGGAGCTCTGCCTGGGGGTGACTAATGAGCTAACTGAGAGCTTGGGGGTAAGGGTTAAAGAGAAGACAAGTAAAGGTGACAATTTAATGGCTGTCTGCTGTAGATCACCTGACCAGGAAGAGCAAGTGGAGGAGGCTCTCTATAGACAGATAGAAGCAGCCTCACATTCACAGGCACTGGTCCTTATAGCAGACTTCTGCTACCTCGTTATCTGCTGGAGGGACAACACAGCAGCACATAAGCAAACGAGGAGGTTCCTGGAGTGCATAAACAACAGCCAAGCCACAAGTGAGCCAATGAGGAGAGTTGCTGCTGGAGCTCATACACACCCTGACAAAGTGATAGAGCAGCTAATCCTGGAAACAATTTCTAGGCACGTGAAGGACAAGAGATGATTTGGTATAGCCAGCATGGATTCACCAAGGGGAAGTCCTGTTTGACCATGCTGACATCCAGCTATGATGAAACAACAGGCTTGGTGGACAAGAAAAGAGTGGTGGATGTAGTCAGCCTTTATTTCAGGGTAGTTCTCTACACTGTCTTCCGTAGGATCCTTGTAGAGAAGCTGTTGATGTACAGATTAGACAGGAGACAGTGAAGTAGATTGAAAACTGCCTTTTTGAAAACTTTTTCAGCTTTCAGCCAGTGGGTGATGATCAGTGGAACAAAGACTAGCTGGGGATGAGTAACTAGTGGTGTCTGCAGGGTTCGATACTTGTTCCAATCCTGTTCGACATCTTGGTTAATGATCTTGGAGGACAAGGCAAAGAGTGCCTTCGGCAAGTTCACAGCTATCACTACACAGGGAGCAGTGGTGGACACACCAGAAGATCGTGCTGCCATCTAGAGGGACCTCGACAGGCTGGAGAAATGGGCTGACAGGAACCTCCTGCAGTTCAGCCAAGTCCTGTGTCTGGAGACAAACGAGTCCGTGCAGCAGGGCAGGCTGTGGGCTGTCCAGGTGTAAAGAAGTGTTGCAGAAAAACTCCTGGGTTGTGCTGCAGACACCAAGTTGACCATGAGCCAGCAATGAGCCCTTGCTTCATAAAAAGCCAATGACAAGTGGAGTAGAGGCTCACTTGAGCAGTGACTGTCCTGCCAGCTTGCTGCCCTGTGCTGCTGCCACCTCAGTCTGAATCCCTGGGGATAAAATGACCTTAAGGAAGTAAGGAAATCTCTTCCAGTGCCACATTATCCCGATGGTTTTCTGACCCCTCAGCCTCGTTGGCTGAAATCACAACTTGTTTCCTGCCTTGAAGAGCACAGCCATGTTATTCCCTTCCTCATTTCCACGGCCTGTCGCAGAGCTGGAGACCCTCAGCCCATCAGCCACAGTTTCCTGAATGGGGATTTCACCTCATGGAAGCAATTGCATTCACCGTGGAGGATGCCTGTGCATCAGCTGCAGGAGATGCCTGTGCTTGACCTGATAAATTATTCTCCAGGTTTATTTTGTGGTGTAGGCCTGATCGTCAGGGTCAGGTCCACTTGTCCAAACACGTTTCTGCAGCAAAGGACTTTCTCAACAACTTTGTCTTAGGGTAGATGGTGTTTCCCCGTGCGCTGCACCAGCTGCATTTAAAGGATGGGGCTTTTGTCTCACTTCTAGGAGCAAACATTACTATCTGAATATATTTTTAAATTTTTACTTTAAAAATATGCCAATCACTATGCTTCCTGCTAGATGTGTCAGGACATTTCCACTTTTAAAACCTGACTTAATGTTTCAATGGTCTGTAATTCCACCCATCTGGGGCTTTGTGGTGGAAATACTTTAATGTGACTGGGCCAAGTCCCCAAACTGCAGAGCTGTGAAAGGCTGGCTGGGGAGCAAGTCTCTCTTGACACTCCTTGGGAGGGCGTCAGCACTGCCAAAGGGCACTTGATTTTAATTTCAGAACAGATGAATCATGTTCTCAAAGCTCTTCTTGCTGCACACTGACAGTGAAGGGCTCATTTGACCCCTTCATAAGAAGGAGACATCAATATGGCAGATACACCTTTATCAGCAGTGTGATGACTGAATCATGACTGTACATCTCCTCCTCCCTTCAGCAAGCAGTGGTGCTTCCAGAGGTGATTCACTAACCTGTGTCCATCTGCCCTGGGCACTTGTCTCTTAGAGTGCAGCCAGGCCCAGGCACCAGAGCCCAAGGAAACACTGATGCCCTCCCTTGTGAGCTGTGCTCTCCTTCTCAGTGGCATTTGGGAAAATCCCTGGGACAGCCGCTCCACTGAGGCTCGAGAAAGACACTGAGCCTAGATCTCTCCTCAGGGAGTCATCACCACTTGTCAGTCCTTGCTTTTGAGGAAGAATTGTGTCTGTGGAGTGTTGAAGCTCTCTGCAGCCCTGGAGAGGAACCAAAAGCAGAACCTGAAATGTCCAAGGGACCCAAAACACAGCAGAGTGCAGGACACTGAGGGCTGCCATCAATTCTCCATCAGCACTGCCGAGAGCCCTCTGAGATAAACAGGGGTGTGCAAAGCTTCCAACAGGGCTGGCAGGGCAGACCCATGTCACCTGGGAGAGGCAGGTCATCCTGGAACAGAGATGGGACAACCACCACGTACCTTGGGGTTTCTCTGGTCAATGGGATGATACTTCATGAGCAACAGACTCCAATGCATACGGTGAGCTCCATGTGGAAAGCCAGTGCCTTCCAGCTGAGCTTCACATGCAACGCTGGGGTGGGACTGCCTGAGAATAGGTCCCTAGAGCCATTCCTGTTGCCTATGCATGAAAACAAGTTCACTGAGATGCGGTTATGAACTTCTGGGCAGAGAAACCAGCGTGGACTTGGGGACATAGGGGTTCCTCCCAGCCAAGTCCTGCTGATTTCCTGAAGAAGGAGAAGATAGAGGAAAAAGAGTGAGACCACCCATAGGCAGTGGATGAGCGCAGCAAGGGTTTGAACAGAGAACCTTGGACAGCATCTGCCTGACGGGTCTTTTTCTCTTGCTGACACACAAATACAGGGCAAGGAAGGGCTCTTCCCTCCTAGGGCTACTATGGGCACGTGGCAAAACCAGGAGAGAAGTTGTGCCTCCCACCACAGACTCCGTTCTCCAGCTGTAGCCATCGGTAGAGGCACAGGAAAAGAGAACAATGAGATGAGCTGATAGATTTCTTGTCCTGAGTACTCTCTCCAGTGTGCTGGGTGTTTTAAGCAGAGGGCATGTCCAAGCCTGGTTTGGCTTCTTCATGGTGTAACCTCCAGTGGGTCTGCCCTAAGTCAGGTTATTTAGATTTCATCATCAAAGGCCCTGGATCTAGACACAGCTGTAAAAGACACACTGCCACGTGTCTCAGAGCAGCACAGGCTGGGGAGGCAGAGGCCCAGCCTCACCACAGCCCCCAGGTGCCACTGCTGGGCAGGATGGGCTCAGAGCTCCATGCAAGCAGTGGCAGGGAGGGAACCACCCCTCAGAGCCCCCACCACGTTTCTGTGCACAGCTGCAAGCTCTGGGCACCAGGGTGGGCTCAGTGCACAGAAATAGGCAGCGCTGTCCTGGAGCTCCACATCCCGCACACGCAGAAGCACCTGGGAGGTCTTCACAGACAGTTCAGATGAGAACCTCTCCGAGTCCACGAGAGCTCTGTACTTGCTCACCCATAAAAGCATCTGAGGGGCCTGGGCCTGGTGGTGCTGGTACCAGTAGAGGTAAGGATTGGCACTGCTGGTGGAGAAGTTGCAGTGCAGAGCTGTGTTGTGTCCTGCCTGGACGGTCATTTCTGCTGGGAACTGGAGCACAGAGTCCTTTTGGGCATGACCTGTCAAGCCAGAAAGGGCTTTCAGCTTTGCTTGACCGTGTCCCTGTGTGTCCACTACTTCATCAGCTCCTTCACTGTGCCCACTTCCCTGCTCTCTTTTCCTTCCCTTGAAACCCTGAGCTCTTTCTCCCTACCTGCTTCTTTCTGCAGCTGCCAAAGACTCCTTACCCCTCCCCGCATCATCCTGCTTTTCAGCCATGCTCACTGCTCTTCCAGTCCACTGATCTCTCCAGATCAGAGCTATGTTGACTGCTGGTCTTGCCTTCAGCAGCAGATAGCAGGAGCTGGCAGCACAGTATCCACCATGTTGAGGAGAGAAGCTCCTATAAGATCTCTCCTTTCCCTCAGACCTTTCCCTCTCCCAGGCTTACGAGCTATTAGTGGCACGTTCTGGAATGCTCTGTACCTGCACATTTAAGGTCAGCTCTTATTCCTCCTGTGATGCCCATTACTCAGGACACTTCCCAGCTGCATTATTGCCAGTTATTTGCTGTACCCACCTGCAGCCCCTGCTCTCCCTCCAGAAACACTCCCAGACCACACAGGGGCTCAGGACTCAAGTCTCTCCACATCCATTCCTGTGATGCCCATTACTCAGGACACTTCCCAGCTGCATTATTGCCAGTTATTTGCTGTACCCACCTGCAGCCCCTGCTCTCCCTCCAGAAACACTCCCAGACCACACAGGGGCTCAGGACTCAAGTCTCTCCACATCCATCATGAGCCACACACACTCTTGCTTCATTCTCCTGAGCCCAAAAGTCACATCTCACCAAAGTCTGCCAGTTCCAACATGACAGCCAGGAAAATCAGGGCCATGTCAAACTCTCCCTTCCCGGGTTGCCCAGGGACCTGCCAGCATGAGGCCCCTGATGCTGCCACTTCCCCTCTTCTACTG